GCATACTGCTGCTATTTTAAGTGCTTCTAAAATTTGGCCATATCTAAGTAGGTTATCTGGTGTTATATTTTTTGGATCTTAGACCGCTAGATCTCTTGCTATATACTCTAAGTTGTTTAGCTTATTTATCAGCTTTGACAGAAATGAATCTAGTATTTTGCTATCTATATATCTTCTATTTCTATCACCGAAGCCTCTAATATATTGTACTAGACTTATGTTACATGGTAGCCCCAATCTTGTTTGTACTTCTGTTTCTAGTCTTTTCTGATGTTTATCTATCTGCTTGCTACACGTGTTGTACTTACCTATTGTTTCCTAATTGGGCTGATTATCATTGATCCTTGTTATTGTTTGGTATAATGTAATGCATTGTTTTGGCTTTGTTTATTCTGTATACTAGTCATGTGCTTCTGATTTGTTTTTCTGGGTCAAATGTTGTTCTTCAGTTTTTCCCAAATATTTTCATCGAAAGTTTTGAAAACCAGCTACAGTTTTATCTAACAGAACTTTGCTTATATTGTTGTTAAGACAAAGTAGTTGTATTTTGCTTGCTGAGTCTTTTTTCTTAGAGGTTCAAGTGAAGTTTGTTAGACCATTTTCTTGTTTCTTTATGTATTTGTTTTTAGCCTTGTTTGAAAATTTAGGATCAGCAAAGAGAGTTGCTTGTATCAGATTATTTTAAGACAACAGCTTATTATTATATAGATTAATAATTATTAAATAAATACTAATTTAATCTTTAATTCAAGATACCTTTGCCAAAATTTCTGCCAGTTGTTATTGCACTTATTCCAAATAAAGAATCTGATACTAATAAAGATATTGAAAAGCTATATAGAAAATTAATTGAAGAAATTGCACCACAACTATATCTTCATATTTTATCATTGGAATTAGATAGTGCAATTACAGAATTTCAGGCACAACAGTCAATTCTTAATACTCAAACTTCCAAAAAGCTAACATTTTGTAAGTCTGCTCTAAATATTAATTTTTCATGCCCTATTTTGAATGGTATTGGTTCTGTAATTCATGTACAAAATCCAAAGTATGCAAAAAAAACTGCATGAAATGCTGTAATGTCAGGTGCATGATTATTATCATTTGGAAAGTTATCAGCATGATTTTAGCATTTTTAAAATCTTATAAATCGATATGATTCAATAATGTATAAAAATGATGTTATTAAACTGAATCAGCAGGATGATGATGCAGCATATTAAGCATTTTGTTTATTAAACTTTAAACAATGTCTTGAAAAAAATTATGAAGTTGAATTGGATATGAAGAAATTTGCAGTATATTTGTTTGTAATAGATTAGTTTCAATTTTAAATATTATTTAAATCTTCATCTTGTAAATAACTTTATCAAATATAGTAATTACTATATTTTATAGTTATTTTTAAAGTAAAGGTCTTATATATTTATCATTATAGAACATATAATATTATTTTATTTTATATTGCAGAAGAATTAATAGATAGCTATCTTAATTATGATATTGTACCTATTGAATGTATTTGTATAGTGATAACTACTTATTTTTTTCTTCGTCTGTGGAAATTTTATATTGAAACATTAGCAACAAAGTATTCAGATTTCATTTTATTAAGAACAAATTTCTTATTTTAACAAAGTTTCACTATATTTATATCACTTGCCAAATCAATGGTTTTGTTGATAAAAGCACATCATGAATTTTATCTGCAAGTTTCATTATTACCTTGGTTCATAGTTCTGAACTCTGTGAACATTTTTTTGGAATTGCCCATCAAATTAATGCTGATTTTGACTTTTCTGAATTGATGCAAATGATTCCAAAGATTTGTTATTATAATAAGACTTATGGGATCAAAAATTAAATTTCGATAAAAAAAAATCAGTTAGACAAGGTAATTTAATTTTCAACAGTATACTATAAAAAACATGAATATAATACAATAACATATGCAGGATATATTATATTCTTTCGCTATTGTTTATATTAAATTATTAAATATACTGCTTATTTTATGTATATATATTTTTTAATAGATTACCTGTTTAATTATAATGAAGGACAATTAGATGAATTAATTTTAGAAAAACTAAAATTATAGCCTACTAACAAGCAAATTATAAACTATTTATTATTAATATCATTTAGCATATGAACTTTCAGAATCTCTTGGTATGATTCAACCTGTAGATTTGTTTATTAATAGAAATAATTTACTTACTATTAGTTTACACAAAGATGAAGTTTCAACATCATATATATATAATAATACAAATCTAGCTGATATTTATGAAATTGATGATATTTCTTCTGCAATAAGCAGTGCATTGAAAGAAGTAGATCAATTTAGTAATAATTTGTATGATGATGATTCTTCATCTAACAATATATTTCAAAATAGTCAAAGGCAGCTTAAAATTATTAATTAACCTTTGGAATCGAGTTCTTTATCAATCTTAAATAATGGTGATAATGGTAAGTATTTATTATAATTTTTTATTGCTATCATATAAGCTCGAAATAATGCTCATGCACTTTTTCTAATCACATGCATTTATGGAATATTAACTGTATCAGATTTAAAAAATCAATCATTATTTTGAAATAACACACATGAGCATATCCAAAATAATGCACAGGTTAATTAATTAATATGCAGATGGGCATTATTTTGTGCTTATATGGTATTTAAGTACTTTAGAATTTTTAATAAATTTTATAGGAAAATAAAACTTTGGGCTTTTGATTCTTTATCAAATTTAGTCTATAAAAAATTTGTAAATATATATTATATATATTACTATGAGATTTTTTTGTAGTCTAAATTTGATAAACAATTATTGATAAAATTAAAAGCCCAAAGTCTTATTTTCTCAATTTTATTATAATATTTACTAACTAGATTGCTATATTTTATAATAACAGTTAGGATGTAATTTTAAATTACAATCTGAATTATATTTAATTTAGATCACAATTTGAAATTACATCTTTGATTGTTATTTTATAAAAATATAAATTAATAGTTAATCTAGATTATCAATATTTTTCAGAAAATACTTTGAATTTTGAGTTTTTACTTAATCAATGTAAATTGCATGATGCATATTGTTCTAAATTACTTGAATAGAAGGTTAAATTGAAGGCACCAAGTACTATTAAAATCAATATAATAAGCTCTGTTCTTCCAAATAAGGCTAGTCATTTAACTGTATATTTCACAAAAAATGAAAATTCTGAACAACAATTCATTAAACAAAGAGAAAAATGTTGGAAGGAAAATCAGAAAAATATGTTAATGACACTTGCACAATTATATTTTGAAGAAATTGAAAAATCAAAAAAAATAAACCTCAAACAAAAAAAATATTCAATCAAATTTAATTTCAAGTATGTATTTAGATTATGCATTTTTAAAATTTTAAACTTAGATTTTATTAAGGTTTAATATTACTAAACTTTATTTTTAATTTTAAAATAATCACCTAATAGTTCCTAATATCTAAAATACAAATATATCAGATAATTTTTCACTATTAAAAAGCAATTATGTTTTTGTTTTATATGGTAAAACTGTGTGTATTGGAAAAGTTATAGTATTATATTTTGAAAATTATATTAATCACTATTATACAGATGAACTTGTTACAAATTTAAATGATATTTCTTATATTCTATTACAAATTTACTTACCTATTTATTTGAATTTGTTTAGTAATATTCTAAAAAAAAGGTCATAGTCTTTTAACACATCATTTATTTTCTAATATTATTTATCATATTAATAAGTTAGGAGTATTAATTGATGAAAATGTTTGAAGTTACTAGAAAATAAAAAAAATATTTTAATTACTTTAATTAGGAAGATGTTGTTCAAAAAATAATTTTTTAATAAAAATTATTTTTTAGCAAAGTTTAAAATAGTTATTAATAAAAATAATAGTTAATATACATATACCTAAAGGTACATATATTCGCATTATATAAAACAATATATAATAGCATATATAACTTAATATAATATATATTATATTTATTGTACTGTAATTAAAATCCTTTATTTTTATTAATTTATATACAATATATTCACTAATTTAAGCACTAATAATATCTTAACCATCCCTAACTTTAAATCTGTTTTAACATTTCTAATCCCAAAACTCAGTTTACCCATTTCTAATTCTAATGCCTATTTAATCTATTTCTAACTTTTCTTGAACCTAATCCATTTCACCTATTTATAACTTTAAACTCAATCTTCAAAACCATAATTAAGTTCTAATTAACAATTAGTATTGAGTGTTGCATCTGTTAATGCTTTTTACAAAACCTGGGCCAAGCATGCAAATGAGAGTTACATCATTAAGAAGTATATTCACATTTTGCATTTATAATAAGAAATCTAGATACTTGAAAAAACTGAGTTTGATTAGACATGAAATTTATCTATTAGTTGAAATAAACAAATTTTCATTTGACAGATATCAGATAAAATTTAGTTAGCCAATAACAACTTGCAAAATATAGCCAAAAAAAACTGCATAACAAATAACAAGCCTAAACAAGTTCATCCATATTTTTTTCCAAGATCACTAACACTTTTTCTTCTTTTTATTCAACTGAAATCTCTGTTACAATAACTCCAAGACTATAAATATCTAATGCTTGAGTGTACAGCTGACTTATCAAAATTTCAGATGCTACATATGGCAGAATCCCAGAAGCTTTTCCTTTATTCACTTTTTTAGAAAGTTCAAGGTCAGTAATATACACATTTTGCAAATTATGTTGAATATTTCTACTGTATAAATCTCTGTGAACGAGTTCCTGTGAATGAATTGACTCAAAATCCAAAGCTATACTATACAAAATATTTAATTTATTATTTCACCCTAGTTGTGATACTTGTACAAGATTTGTCATAACAAATATTTTTTGGTGCAATTGCATAACAATAATATAATCACTGTGATACTTCATAAAAGTTCAATAATGAAGAATTCTCATGACCAATTTGTAATGCTTCAATTTTTGAATAGGTTCTTATATATTTTTGTTTGAATTATGAATCAGTTTAAGTATAACATCCCATGATAAACTGTTAATTCTGTCTAGCTAATTGGCCAATAAACAGTTATGTATCCTTTAAGTTTATTACTATTAAGATGCAAAAATTCAATTGGTGTTCTTACAATATGCCTTTTCTCTTCAAATCCAAGATTATTCATTGAAAATTAGTATAATGTTCTTGTAAGCTCATCAGTAGCCTATCCATTAAACAACTTCAAAATGATAACATTTAAAATAACAGAAATTATATATACAAATTTGACAATATGGAACACCTAAGCAATGAAATCTACAGCCACAAGAATATTAAAAAGACATTAGAAAACAAACAGCAAAATTCTAGTAAAATGATGATGCAAAGTTATCAAAGTAACAAAATCCAAATGCCAAATAACATCTAAAGTCCAGTAATGCAATGTCTCGAAATCATGAAATCTATTATTGTTTATATATCTAGTGATTATTAGGTTATATGAAGGGTGTGGTAACTTAGTGAAGTGGATAAGTTGTCATATCTCCAAGTGGTAGGTTGTGAGTTCAAAACCCACCAACAGTAAAATTTGGATAATCACCTATATAATATATAAACAGTATTACAGTGATGGCATTCTGTCAATCAGTTGAGATAGAATACCTGTAACTATGATCACACTAGCATGACTGGCAGGTCTGAGGCATCTATATAACCTGTTACACAGAGGAATGCAAACTGGTACTGGGCAGTGCAAACCTAAAATAAATCCTCAGGCTGTGTAAATCTGTAAAACTGGGAAGCTAGAGCCTACTTGGAAATTCTGAGCAAAGAGGTAACACAGATCTTCGATGATACTACTGTAAAGGCTAGACCTAGGAAATGAATACCAATGTGAAGGATTCGGGCAGGCAAGAATCTCAGGTAAGAGGTACTACCAATCAGGCTATCAGATTTTGGACCAGAGGAAAAGAATATTGGGTCAGTTTCAATATATCAAGAACAGGTCATAGTTCTTCTAGGCTATCTGGATTAAAGTCTTGGTTCAAAGCAGAAGTATACTAAAAGTACTTGGGATATGCTGTGAAGTCAGTACTAGGGTCTGGATGAACTCTGCAAGAGTAGCCTGTGTTAATGTTCTAAAAGTAGGTAGATAGTAAACAACAGAGGGCCCTCTGCATCTTACTGGCAGATGACATACTCTAAAATATATAATGGCCTGAGAACCAGTACAAAAAGAGTAGGTACCATACTGCTCAGATAGTATACCAATTAGATATATACAAAGGTTAGTTGAAGATTCCAATATGACAGAGTAGATGATCAGAGGGTTTAAATGAATAATCTCCTAGTAGGTTATAGGTATGGCATCTAGTATAGAACCTTAGGGCAGACTACTTAAATAGGCAACCAAAGTTGCATATATGACTAGCTGTACTTTTATTTCTGTAAAAATAGTTGTAATAGCTAACCCGATATAAAGTCAATAAAGTATCACCACAAGTATGGCCTTTAACAAAAAAAAAAAAAAAAAAAGGTTATATGGAAATGCAGATATACAAAAATTTTTATACTCTCTGATATTTTTTATAAGTTAGATAATTTATTTGCTTATTTTTAATAAAATTTTAAAGTTATATACTAATAATGCTTATTAATATTAGTAAAAATTTATGCTTAGAGATATTATAAAAAAATTTTAACTTCTTGTAACCTATATACTAATAGCTTGGGGTTTTATATTAAGTTTGAGCTATAAAACTAATGATAATATATAACAATATTAAATACAGAATCTTATAAGCTTGTTGAAGCTATTAGAGAAATTCACAAGGCATTTATCAGCTGCATCTTATTTAATTCAGTAATATTTGATTTATTTTTATGAGTCTTCAATAGCATCTAGATATATATATTAAAAAAGAAGAGTTTTTTAAAGTATTGTAGCAACTTCTATGTATAAAAAAATTAGTTAAATATTAAGAAATAATAAATAGCTCTTTAGTAATATTAGCAGTCCTTGATTTATGCACTAAACTTAAAATTTTTGTAATATTACAGAACAGAAAAATGCTACCAATTTAAGTTATCAAGTTTTTAATTGTTATAAGTCTCAATTTCAGTTATCTGTGTTGTGTAATAATATGAATAATAATTTCAGACCAAGCACTACTCAACAATTTTTTTGGCAACTAGGTTCACAAGACCTTTAACTACTCTATATTAACTATAAAGATTCTAATATCTAAAGCCAATTTATGCCTAATAATAAACTAAATAATTACCTTTATTCTTTGTTAAATAAAAATGTCAAACTACTATTCTGGTAAAAAATTCATTAAAAAAATTATTCAAAGCTTTCAATAATTGCTTACAACTATCTCTTTATCCAATTAACAAGCATTGCTTGCAAGCAAGCTTTTTCTGTAGTATATAATACAATTACCAAAACTTGAAATTGGCTTCATTCTAAAATTGTAAGAGCTTGTCTTTGTGTAAAAAGCTAAATTAGTAATAAAATTGGTGTTAAAAAGTAAAAAATATTATTATATAATTAAAATACATAAAAAAATATATAAGGCACCTTTATTGTGCTTAGTATTACAGTATTATAAATAAATATATTCTTGAACTTCTTGACTTTAAAGCTAAAAAAAAAAAATCTAGTTATTAAAATTTTGCTCAACTGAATATAAAATCTTTTGTTAATAAATAAATCCAGTAAATAACTTTTGCATTAATAGTGATTTAGAGTCAGATGCCAAAAAACATATAAATATATAGTAGTAGAAGTTCTTTATACATAGAGGTGCAATTTGTAAACTAGTAGTTTATTGTAAAACTATAGTTAACTGTAGTTTTAAAATTAACTACAGTTTATTTATATGTATTGTAATTCACAGTTTGCATTTCTGCTTATATGTATTAACACAATACTACAATACAATATATGTTTAATAGCAGAATCTATAGGAACTAATATAATATAAGAAAATTAAACTATCCAATCAGAGAGCTTTAAATAGACTAGTTTGTAGTTTTCAGTTTAATTCATAATTTAGAGACTAAACTAGTTTTTTTAAACTAAAACTGGACTAAACTGAACTGTAATATTTTAATAACAACTATAGAAGGCAATTATAAAAAAAGTAGAAAACTAGCTATTTGTACAACTTTAGTTATTATCTAATTTAAGTAGTTTGCCTGAAGGTTCTACACTAGCTATTATATCTGAAATCTACTTGTAAGTTCTTTATTTAAATACTTAGTTTCTGTATTTATCTACTTACTTCTGTTTACTAATAATCTTGACTAATGCTAATAAAAATATACCATAATTACTAAGTCTTTAAGGCAGTTTACTCATATAGAAAATCTTTGATATTGTACTAAACCTTTTGAAATTTTCTGTATTCTATTCTTATAGCTAACTTGGTAATACTATAATCAAGACTAATACTTGTAGTTAAAGCATATTATTAAACTGCTATGTTCTTGTAGAGTATACTTTAACTCTAATACTTAATTTATAATATATCTTTATTATTTTGGTATTTAATTCAAGTTCAATCAAGCTTTTAAACCAAATAGTCTAGAAAAATAGATACAACATATCTTTGGTTTATATAATTTTCTAATATATAATCTTTTTTTCTAATATGTTATTTTGGTAACCTGGCTGGCTTTATTCAGTTTCTTTTTAAAAACTGGCTTTTTGTCTAGTTTTATAAGTTTTAGCTTTGTTTTATAAGTCTAGTCTTTATAGTAGTACTGTTGAAAGCTCAGTTTATTTTTCTACTCAGGTCTTTCAAATAAGCTTTTATTTTTCTAATTTCTGTGATTTATATAATCTGAGAACTTATTATAAGTTTGCACTATCTGGTACTAGTTTGTGTTTCTTTATACAAGATTGTATAAATGTCTAAACCTTCTAGTTATACTGGTATAACACAGATAACAGATATTTGATCCTAACCAATTTTAGAAGACAATTAACTATAACACAAAAAAAATTGCAAATTTTTATTATTACTAAGTTTGAACTCTAGATTTGCCATTTAAAAGTTAACAACTTATTTACTTTACTAAATTATCATACTTCCTTTTTTTTGTAACTTTATTCAATTTTTCTTCTATTATAATTATAAAAAAAAAAGAATAAGATTATTTTAGCTAGAAATTTGTATAATAATTAAAAAAAGTTAATATATAATTATTATTAAGCCAATCTTAACATTACTTCAAAAAAGCTTGCTAAATAGATAAAAAATAAATTTAATCTTTTAAAAGCTATAGGTCAAAGTACAATATCAAATATCTTGAAAAAAAAAAATTTATTACAATGTCTAAAAGTAATTTCAACGTTAAAAAATAATAGATTATCATGTTTTCTGAATTAAATACTGTCTTAGCAAATTGAGTTTTACAATATGAAAATAGAAATATATATTAAATAGATATATAATTAAGATTAAAAACAGAAAAACTTTTTTTGCTAATTATTTGTATATAAAATTATTTTAAAAGTTTACTAAAAAATAACTGTTTAAACTAACTTATAAGTCTAAGAAAAAAGATAGAGCATGTAAAAAAGACATAACAAGAGCAAGAGAAAATTAGATAACTTAGTAAAAAAGATAAAGAAGAAAAGCACCTTGGTCAATATTTTAAACAATAAAATTTAAGAGATTTTCTGTAATCTGAAAACATAGTTCTGTAGATTATAACAATATATTATTATAGAATAAATTATTATTATTTTATTATTATAATTTATTATTTATTATTTATTATTAGTATTTTATTATTATTTAGTATTAGTTATTCTTATAATTGTATTATTATTATTAGTAGTTACTAGAACTTTTTAGTTACTTAGTAATTACTTAGTTGCTTAGCTACTTAGTTACTTAGTCACTTAGTTGCTTAGTTACTTAGTAATTAGTCACTTAGTAATCATTAGTCATTAGTTGCTAAAACTTTTTAGTTATTTAGTAATTGCTTAGTTACTTAATGCTTAGTTACTTAGTTACTTAGTCACTTAGTTACTTGGTTACTTAGCTGCTTAGCTTACAGATATATAAACCTTAATAAATTCCTTAAGTTTAATTAAACAACAAACATTTTTCTTCTCTTAATATTGTAAACACATCTTAAAATTCTTTAGGAACAGAAATCTAAGAATAGCCTTTTTTGTTATTACTTTAATAAACAGCTTTTGATTATAAACTGTATTGATACTCTTTCTTTAAAGTAATTCCTATAGACAAGGTTTATCTTCTTTTAGTAAAATAAAGTAAAGCTATTAGTATTGCATTATCTTTCTCGAACTACTTCAAAGAAGAGTATAGTTTCTTAACAACACTAAACAGAAACTATACTTATCTTTTGGACATTACATATATCTGTAAGAAATTTACTATGCCATAT